GTCTCTGTCTCTGTCTCTCTCTCTCTCTCTCTCTCTGTGTGTGTGTGTATGTGTGTGTGTGTTTGGAGTGTGTATTTGGTTTATGTTTTGAAACACAGTCTCACTATGTAATCCTGGCTGGCCCTAAACCCAGCATTCCTCCTGCCTCTGCTCCCACGTCCTGGGATTAAAGGTGTGCGTGTACAAAGACAGCTTCTAGATTTTTAAAAATTATATATACATGCACAAATGTGTATGTGTGCCACATTTACTTGTGGAGTCAGAGACAACTTTTGTTTCTCTCCAACATGTGGGTCTCAGGGATCAAACTCAGATGGTGAGGCTTTGTATAGTGAGTGCTTTTCCCCACTGTGTTTTTGAGACAGGGTTTCACAGTGTAACTCTGGCTGGCCTGGAACTTGCTCTATAAATTACAATTTCTTTGTAGTTCTCTGTGGTTTTTTCCTTGGTTTTTTCCTTGGTTGGGGCAAGGTCACATTTGACTATTTTTGCCATGTCCTTGCTGATCCTGAGTCCTGCTCTTTCTGGCTGCACTTTTCAAGTGCTGGGACATACACCAGTTCACTGGTGTGTTCCCTCAAATACTTTCCCTTCTTTACAGTTTCACAGAAAAAAGATTTGTTCCCACCATTGCCCCTAAGCATAGGACAAATGTTGTTGGAGATAGGTTTTGCTGTACACCTCTGCCTGTACTCTCACTATATAATCCAGGCAGCCAAGTCCCATCCATCCTCCAGCCTCAGCTTGTCAAGAATTACAGGTGAGAGCCACCACATCAGGCTAATGTTTTTTCTCTCTTTATTGCATCAAGAACTTTTACCTTTTGCTTCAAGGAGGCTCTTTATAGCTTTTATCTGACATAACCATACCGGCAACCCTACTCATGTGCTTTGGGGATCTTATAAGACTTGAATGTAAGCATAGCAACACAGAACAAACTCCATCTATAAACTAGAGGGTTATGTTCAAGTTGGGTGGTGGTAGGGCACACTTTTAATCCCAGCATTTGAGAGGCAAAGGTTGGCAAATTTCTGAGTTTGTGAACAGAGCAAGTTCCAAGATAGCCTGGGCTACACAGAGAAACTCTGTGTGAATAAACAAACAAACATGTTATGTTCAGGTATGACTCAGCAAATTGTGATAATTGCAAAGCTAGCCTGATCTATGTTTGTTGTCCTTGTTGTTGTGGTGGTGGTGGTGGTGGTGTTTTGTTTTGTTTTGTTTTGTTTTGTTTTGTTTTGTTTTGTTTTGTTTTGTTTTTTCGAGACAGGGTTTCTCTGTGTAGCCCTGGCTGTCTGGAACTTACTCTGTATACCAGGCTGGCCTCGAACTCAGAAATCTGCCTGCCTCTGCCTCCCAAGTGCTGGGATTAAAGGCGTGTGCCACCACTGCCCGGTCTAGCCTGATCTATGTAATCAGCTCCAAACCATTCCGGGCCACAAACTGAGACCCCCTGCTCAAAAACGAAGGAGGGGGAAAATCTTGCCTGAAAGGCAAGCAGCATCAGAAATCTGACTTCTGCAGACACCAGAAACACAGGTAGAGCACATACATACACATAGGCAAATGTATATGCAATGAGGACACACCATAAAAAAGGTAAAACGGAGTGGGTTAGCCAAATAAATCATCACTACTCAGAGAGGTGTGCAATTTAAAATGTATGAAATTTTCACTCAATATTTTCAGATCAAAACTGAACACAGAAAGCTTAAAAAGTAAAAAGGTGGCTTACTGTGTTGCCTCTGTGAGTTGTGAAGTTTGTAACATCAAAAAAGGGAAAATAGGTGTGATGGCATATACCTATACTATCGGCACTCCAGGGGCAGAATCAGAGGCAGGGAGAGTGGTGGATCATACCTGTGATTTCAACAGTCAGGAAGCAGATACAGGAAGATGGTTGTGATCACTCCGAGGTCAGCCTCAACATGGTCAGGCTGTTGAATTTCAGGCTAGCTGGGCAGTGGTGGTGCACACCTTTAATCCCAGCACTTGAGAGGCAGAGGCAGGTGGATTTCTGAGTTCCAGGCCAGCCTGGTCTACAGAGTGAGTTCTAGGACAGCCAAAGCTATACAGATAGAAACCCTGTCTTGAAAAACAAACAAACAAACAACAACAACAAGAATTTCAGGCTAGTCAGGGTTATGTTGTAAGACCCTGTCTCAAAAAAATAAAATAAGGGCTAGAGAGATGGTTCATCAGTTAAGAGCACTTGTCCTTGCAGAGGACCTGGGTAAGATTCCCAGCAGTCACATAGTGGCTGACAAACATCCATAATTCCCATCAGTAACTCCAGCTGCAGGGAATCCAATGCCATCTTCTGACTTCCACAGGCCCAGATACACACACAAGTAGAGCACATACATACACACAGGCAAACACTTATACACAATGTGAAAGTGACAAGAGTGTGATGAACATAAAATAGAAACAATGCTCCGTTCCTGGGACCACAAAAGTTAGAAAAGAACCAATCAGAGGGACCAATATACAGACAATATGGTGTATATCTTCATACATAATGTGCATTCTGTTACTTAAAATCCAACACGTAAAACCTGATCGTTAGGAGCTGGGGTGGAGCTCTATAAGTAAAGTACCTAGCATGAGTATGGCCTTAACGTCCACCCACAACTCCTCATAAACCTGGCATGGTGGCCTATAATCCCAGCACTCAGGAAGAGGAGACAGAAGGTTCCTACCCTGCTTGTGCTCATGCAGACCCTTAGGGATTGGAGTGTGCAGTAATAGAGCAAGTACCCAGCATGCATTAGGCTATGAGTTTGATCTTAACTAGTCTTTTAAGCCTGAGATTCTATATTGCATTTCTCAGTGTAGGCTTGGTTAGCTACTGTGTCTTCACATATCCCTACAACAAGCAGCCAATATCTGTCAAGTGAGTGCTGGGATAAAACAATAAGATTATGGTGACACCAGCCTGAAATCTCAGCACTTATTACAGAGGCAGAAGAATTAAGATTTTGAGGCTGGCCGGGCGGTGGTGGCGCACACCTTTAATCCCAGCACTTGGGAGGCAGAGGCAGGCAGATTTCTGAGTTCAAGAGTTCGAGATTAGCCTGGTCTACAGAGTGAGTTCCAGGACAGCCAGGGCTACACAGAGAAACCCTGTCTTGAAAAACCAAAAAAAAAAAAAAAAAGATTTTGAGGCTGGCAGAGACAGATAGATCCTTGAGTTGAAAGCCAGCCTGATCTACAAAGCAAGTTCCAGGACACCATAGCTACACAGAGTAACACTGTCTCAAAACAAACAAACAAACGCAATAGGGAAAGATTTGAGGCCAGCCTGAACTATATGGTGAGTCCCCATGTCTCAACTTTAGAGTCTAAAGGAAATGAGAAAAGAGCAAGCATAGTAGTATAGTATAGGCAGGCTTTTAATCCTAGCACTTAGGACTAAAGTCTGCCTGACTTATAGACAGGAAGATACACTGCAAACTCAAGCTAGCCTGGTTCCTGGTCTACATAGTTCCAGGCAGATCTTGGGGGAAAGGGCTGGGAAAGGGTGGGAGAGAAAGAAAGAACGACTAACTTGTAGGGATGTCCACCCTCTTGCCACTGACACAGGACATTGTCATCTACAAAGTTCACACTTGAGGCTTGAGAACTGAGCAATTAACCTACAAAAGAAAACTACAAAAGAAAAGCTTATAATTTTTTTTTTGTTTTTCTTTGAGATTGGGTTTCCCTGTAGCTCTGGATGGGCTAGAACCCATCATGTAGACCAGGCTAGCCTCAAACTCACAGAGATCTACCTATCTCTGTCTCTTGAGTGCTGGGATTAAAGGTGTACACCACCACATTTCATGTTTTAAGTAATTATAGTTTTGTGTTGGGACAATTCATAAATAACTGTCCTTAGCCACCTGTGTCCTGTGAGCTGCACATTCTTAGATATGCTTAGTCTCCGGATAAAAAATTTTTATCAATGTTTTCCAAAGGGAAACTTTCAGAGAAGTGAAAAAGTCAAAACCTGTGTCAGAAGGACAGCCAATTCTACCCCCAGGTTTCCAGAGTACTCTCAGGCTAGACTCAGTGCCAGACACAGCCCTTGCTTAGGACCCAGGGAGTACACACCTATTTTCTCAGGTCTAATGAGGGTGAAGTCAGCAGTCACCCAGTGGCTGCAGAAAACTCAGGCTTGGGTCTTCCCACCCTGCCGGGGATTAAGTTCTGAAGGTGAACGGTGAAGGATCTGGGCAAGTGCTCTGAGTTTGATCCCAGCCCCATCACGATTGCCATGGGTCTCACTGTCTCAACCCTTCTGACCACCACTTTGCCCAGGGCTCTCAACAGTCCTTAGCTGGGGATCAGATTCCTCTATTCCAGAGCCTCTCAAAGTGTGGTTCCTGGGAATTCATGGGAAATGTATATTATCCGTCTGTTTGCCAAGCCTCGCAGCTCAGAACTCAGAGATTGGGGGTGGGACCCAGCAATTGGCAGTTACACAAAATTGTCTAGGTGACGCTAATACCTGTCCAAGTTTCAGATCTGCTACTTCGCTCTGGTGTAGACTCTCAAAGGAACACCATAGTCTGGCTTATGTCCTCCCCTGTTACCAGTGCTTGGCCTCTGGTAGGCATTTAGTATTTTCTGGGGGATGTAACTCAGTGGCAGAGTCCTTGCCAAGTCTATGCAAAGATCCAGGTTTAATCCTCCACACCAAATGTGTAGAGGAGATAGAGAAAGAAAAATGGTAGATATATTCGATAGGTAGATGTTTAACAGCAATGGTATGTACAACAACCAGCTATTGACTGAGGAATACCTGTGCTCCAGGCTCTGAGCTCAAAAGTTTTGGGAGGATGAAAACCCCAGCAGCCACCCTAGATAACACTGTTCTATGAACAGAAGCTCAGATGGGACAAGTGCTTTATACACAGGGTCTCCCAGGCAGAGACTCAGAACCCTACTGGGATGCTCAGAGCGGTTCCTGGAACCCGGCGGCCGCGCGTGCGCTGTCACGAGAACGGCGGCTGGGAGTGTGGCGAAAGTGCGGCTGCGGAAGCGCAGCGAGACCCCGGAGGAGGAAGCGAGCACCGCTGCCCTGCTGCGGGGTTCCCGGCACCATGGGCCGCCTGCACTGCACGCAGGACCCGGTGCCCGAGGCCGTGCGCGGCGACATGCAGCAGCTGAACCAGCTAGGCGCGCAGGTGGGCCTCTCCTGGGCGTGTGAGGGGCTCGGGAATGGGCCGGCGCACTCTGGAGGTGGGGACCTCTGGGGACCAGATTTGTAGGCTCCTAGAGGAGGGAATGAGGGGATCCCGAGGGGCTCCCGGTTGAACAGACTAGAGAGGGCAAATCGACTGCAAGCGGGGTGTGAGTATCTGTATGGCCAGGCCTAAGTGCGACCCTGGGCCTGAGCCGGAAGGGGCTCAGATAGAACCGGTGACCACACCCCTTTCCAGTCCAGGAAAGGAACCGTGCTTGTTTTAGAGGCCCTGTCCCTGTTGCAGAGCTCCGAAGGCCACCTCCTGTTCACACTGCAGGAATTAGCCAAGGGAGGGGCATCTGCCCGGAATAAACAGTGGTTTACAGTGGTTACAGTGGTCCTTGCCAATCCCAGCACTTAGGAGGTGGGAGCAGGAGTTCAGATCCAGCTTTCTCTATGTAACTTGTTCAAGGCCTGCCCGTCTAAACTTCATAAGACCTCCTGTCAAAAAAACTAAAATAGATAGATAAATAACCCTTCACCCCTCCAGATGTTTCTCTGACTGTGTCTTCGCTTCCCAGGAAGTGGGGCCCTCAACTCTGGACGCACACAGGCCAGTTTGAAAAATAAAATACGGCAGAGTAGTGCTCACCTTAATCCTAGCATTTGGAAGGCCAAGGCAGGTTGATCTCTGTAATTCAAAAACAGTCTTTTCTTCATACTGAGTTTTAGACCATCCAGAGCTGCATAGTGAGACCCTGTATCAAAATAAGTAAAGAACAAAAATAGGATTTATTTGGTAGGTAGTACATACCTGACCTGCCACCACTTGAAAGGTGGAGGCAGAAAAATTGCCAGACTGGAACCAGAAATTCACAACCAAATGTCTAACTTCAAAGCCAGGGAGATGGCTGATTTTTGCTGTTACCACTGTTTTCTGGAAGACTCCCATTTGTAGGGGTAGGTGGAGGAGAGAGAGATTCTACTGATTTTTTTTAAGATTATTTATTATTTTATTTGTTGTGGGGGAGGTCAGAGAATGACCTAAGGGAGTTAGCTTTGACATTATTCTGACTGTGAGGGGTATAGGTTCCAGGGAGTGAACTATGGTCAATCAACTTGGCAGGAAGCACCTTTGCCAGCTGCACCATCTTACCAGCCCCAAGGCTTCTCCCTCCCTCTCCCTCTCCCTCTCCCTCTCCCTCTCCCTCTCCCTCTCCCTCTCCCCCTCCCCCTCCCCCTCTCCCCCCCCTCTCTCTTTCTCTCTCTCTCTCTCTCTCTCTCTCTCTCTCTCTCTCTTTTTCTCTCTCTGTTATACCTTGAGATAGTCTCTCTGTCCCCTGACTGTCTTCAAATTTAAGTTCTTCCTGCCTCAGCTTCACCAGGTGTTGGGGTTACAGGTGTGTCACACCATGCTCAAATATTTATTAATCACCATTTAGTTCTATGTAGTGGTTTACTGTTGTGTTTTTCTCTTTTATTTTTAGATAAGGTCTTTGTAAACCTGACTGGTCTGCCTCTCAAGGCTAGGAGTCTAGGCGTGTGCCATCATCATGTCTAGGAGTCTAGGCGTGTACCATCATCATGTCTAGGAGTCTAGGCGTGTACCATCATCATGTCTAGGAGTCTAGGCATATACACCATCCTGTCTAGAAGTCTAGGCGTGTACCATCCTGTCTAGGAGTCTAGACGTGTACCATCATCATGTCTAGGAGTCTAGGCATATACACCATCTTGTCTAGGAGTCTAGGGATATACACCATCCTGTCTAGGAGTCTAGGCGTGTACCATCATGTCTGGCCTTGTTTGAGCTCAATCCTCAATACATTGCTCAATTTGGCTTTAAATTTAGAATCTTCCTTCCTCAGCCTCCTGAGGACCTGAGATTGTAGACCTGTGTCAACAGGCCCAGCTCTTTAAAAAAAAGTTTAAATAATTTAACTATGTAGTCTAGACTAACTTCAAATTCATGATTCTCCTGCCTCAGCCTGAGAGCTGGTTTGTTTGTTTCTTGAGGAAAGGTCTTGCTCTGTAGCCCAGGTAGCCTGGAACTTGCCAGTGTCTGAGTCCCCAGTGAGAGGTTTCAGGAGTATACTACCATGCCTGGCTGAATTTCAGTTATTTTTTCAAATGAACAATACTTGATGATAGGCTTTCTCTGATGACAAAATAGCCAATTTAAGCGGACTTAAAAAGTACAAAGGCAGATTTATTAGGGGCAGTTCTCTGGTGGGTTCACTGGTCCCAAGGAAGGAGGCCAGAGAAGTCACCATGCAGACAGGGAGACAGAGGGGAGGGAGGAAAGAAAGAAAGGGAGGGAGGGAGGGAGGGAGGGAGGGAGGGAGGGAGGAAGGGAGGGAGGGAGGAAAGAAAGAAAGAAAGAAAGCAAGCAAACAAACATGCATGTAAGGAGAGAGAAATGCGGAGGGAGGAAGAAGGAAGAGGGAAAGAGAGAGAGAGAAAGAGAGAGAACATAAAATGTCTAGCTTATATAAAGCCTCTGGGAAAGCCCAGCCCTTGGGTTGGAAAGTTTAGGGTAGAAAGTGGGATATGGCAACCATGCTCTGTAACAGGTAGGGGGACTGAGGGATGCTGGGAGAACCTGGAGGCCAGGTGAGCTTTGGTTAAGAACGCACCTCAGCTGCTTGTCCTGGGTCTTTTTTTTTTTTTTTTTAAATATACGTAAGTATATTGTTGTCAGTGTCTTCAGACACACCAGAAGAGGGCATCAGATGCCATTACAGATGGTTGTGAGCCACCATGTGGTTGCTAGGAATTAAACTCAGGACCTCTGGAAGAGCAGTCAGTACTTTTAACTGCTGAGCCATCTCTCCAGCCCCTGTCCTGGGTCTTAAACCCAAACTTTGCAGAGAAAAGCAAAGTTTATCTGTGTAAGCACCAATGGAAGAGATATGAACCATATACTTTTTGCAATAGAATTTATAGCTCTAAGGCTGTGATTGATATTAAAATTAGATGTGTATTATGCTATTGTCCTCTGGGAAGGTTGGTCAGTACTCCCTAGAGCCATCAGTGAGTTTCTGTCCCCAGACTTGGTTTGTAGATCCAGTAAATGAAGAGGTGTCTACTTTCACTGGTTAACATTTCCCTAACATTGTAGTCTAGAGTGACCTCGAACATCTTTTCTCATGTTTACTTGTGATAATAGTTAAAATAGCTGATGAACATGGTGCCAGGCACTGTGGCGTACACCTTTAATCCCAGCACTGGAGAGGCAGAGGCAGGCACAGCTCTGTGAGTTCGAGGACAGCTTGGTCTACATAGCAAGCTTTTAGGCCAGTCAGGGCTACACAATAAGACCCTATCTCAAAACAAAAAAAGAGAGACCCTAACTCTACAAGGTAGAAGGTAAGAACCAGCTATTGAAGGTTGTCCTCTGACTGCCCCATACATACACCCCAAAATTAGATAAATAAATAAAGGGGGAGGGGTGAATATGATCAAAACAAACTGTATACATTCTTAAAGAATTCTTCTCTCTCTAAAGCCTATAGGGGGTGATATGTGGCATACTAAGTTGGATGGAGACATTGGATGGGATAAGCACACAGGGGATGGGCACACAGGGGAGTGGGCACACAGGGGAGTGGGCACACAGGGGGATGGGCACACAGGGGAGTGGGCACACAGGGGAGTGGGCACACAGGGGAGTGGGCACACAGGGGAGTGGGCACACAGGGGAGTGGGCACACAGGGGAGTGGGCACACGGGGATGGGCACACAGGGGAGTGGGCACATGGGGGTGGGCACACAGGGGAGTGGGCACACGGGGGTGGGCACACAGGGGAGTGGGCACACAGGGGGATGGGTACACTGGGGGATGGGCACGCTGGAGGATGGGCATCAGGAAGCAGAAATGGTACTCATACTCTCTGTTATCTTTTACAGCAGTTCTCGGCCCTGACAGAAGTGCTTTTCCATTTCCTCACTGAGCCCAAAGAGGTAAGTAAGGCATTTGGTGCTAAGGAGGTTTGACCAACATGGGTCCACAGCGCTGATAACTTAGAGAATGTCTGGGTACTGCCTGCTCTTACAAAGGACTCAGGTTCAGTTCCTAGAACCCATGTGGCAGCCAGAACCCTCTGTTATCCTTGTTTCATGGATCCCATGAAGGACACATGCAGGCCAACTGTTCAGACACTGTCTTCAGACACATCAGAAGAGGGCATCAGACCTTATTACAGATGGTTGTGAGCCACCATGTGGTTGCTGGAAACTGAACTCAGAAGCTCTGAGTCACTGAGCCATCTCTCCAGCCCAAAACTAACCTTTTTAAGTGGTAAGTAAGCGCCTATTTGTTCTGTCTCCTCTGCAGGTGGAGCGCTTTCTGGCTCAGCTCTCTGAATTTGCCACCACCAATCAGATCAGCCTTGGCCCCCTCAAAAGCATCATGAAAAGCCTCCTTTTGGTTCCAAATGGTGAGTTGACTCTCTCAACAGGTCTCCACAGAGATACTGTTGCTGCCTGAGCCTCCCTTTAGTTAGACAGTCACAGGAGCAGCATCCAGTAAGTAGCCAGGCATGGCAGGGCATACAGTCTGAGCAGAATGCAGGTGTGGAGGTAAATGTTACAGCTCTCGGTATGTTTGGTGCTCTGTGTCTGTGGACTCAACCAACCATGAAAGGATCAAAAGCATTTTTAAAACTCAGAAGTGATGACATACATCTTAAACATTCTAAAAAATTGTGCGGGCTGGTTAGATGGCTCAGTGGTTAAGAGCACTGACTGCTCTTCCAGAGGTCATGAGTTCAAATCCCAGCAACCACATGGTGGCTCACAACCATCTGTAATGATATCTGATACCCTGTTGTGGGGTGTCTGAAGACAGCTACAGTGTACTTACATATAATAAATAAATTTTAAAAAGATATTTAAAAAAAAAATTGTGCCTCTATGCAGCACAGACAGACACGCTTTTGTTCACTATTCCCAAATAAAGTGGTGTAACTAGCATTTCCATGTATTTACAATATGTTAGGGTCTAAGAAGCCGAGAGGCAGGTCAAAGTGTGTAGTTGCATTGATTGTGTATCAATACTGTGTCATTTTGTCTGAGGGACTTGTAGTAGTCTAAGAGGCCTGTGAACTGGTACCCAGAGGATGCCAGGGGCAGCGAGCTGACATAGCAGAGGAGCTGTGCACAGGGGGGCAGCTCAAAGCCGAGTCTTTGTCCTCCATTTCCTAAACCCAGAAGTTAAATGGTAGGGTTCACCAGTGTTACTTGAGTCGTCTCCCCCCCATGCGCCTCCCTCCCTCCCTTTCTTTCTCTCTGTCTCTCACACACATACACACACACACACACACACACACACACACACGCACTTAGTGTCTCTGTCTCTCCTCCCCTCCCCCCCACCCCCCAGTCTCACTATATATCCCTGGCAGTTTTTAGTTCTCTACGGAGAGCAGGATGGTCTCCAGCTCACAGAGATCCTCTTGCCTTTGCCAGTGCCTCTAGGATCAAATGCATGCCCTACCCCAGCTGGCTCTTTTCCTCTTGTGATTGATTGATGCTGACGTTGGAATCCAGGGCCTCCCTCATGCTGAGAGCTATTCCCTTAACCCCTAGCCCATAATTATTTTGTTTGTTTGTTTGTTTGTTTTGAGATAGAGTCTCTCTAGGTAGTCTTTCTAAGTAGAACCTCTGGAAGAGCAGTAAGTGCTCTTAACCACTGAGCCATCTCTCCAGCCCATATAATGGATTTTTTCTTTTTTTCTTTTTTTTTTTCTTTTTGGTTTTTCGAGACAAGGTTTCTCTGTGTAGTCCTGGCTGTCCTGGAACTCCCTCTGTAGACCAGGTTGGCCTCGAACTCAGAAATCCACCTGCCTCTGCCTCCCAAGTGCTGGGATTAAAGGCATGCGCCACCACTGCCCGGCTATAATGGATTTTTTAATGCAGTTTTTTTTCCTTTTCTCTTTTTTGTTGCCATTACATGTTTGTATATGTTCAGGTACATGTGTGTGCACGTGCATGCGTGTGCATGTGTGAGGAGATCAGAGCCAAACACCTTGTTTTTGAGAAGGGTCTCTCAGGGGCCTAAGGCTCAACTATCAAGCTAGTCTGGCCAGCCAGGCCCCCAGTGCTGGGATTTCAATGGAGCATCACTACCCTAGCTGTATTAAGTGAGTCTAACTAATTCTAGGGGGTCTAACTCAAGCCTCACACTCACACAGGACTTTCTGACTAAGCTGGTTGGTTTGTTTGCTTGTTTGTTTTTTGAAACAGTGTGTTACTCTAGCCCAGGCTCATGGGATACTTGCTATGTAGCCCTGGATAGCTTTGAACTGTCAACAGTCCTCCTATGTCAGCCTCTGAGTATTAGGGTCATGGGTGTGAGCTACAGTGCCCAGCAGGACTTATACTTTGTGTGCTGTGCCTTTTTTATTCCTATCTCTAGAAATTAATTTTTTATTACATTTCATGGAAATATCACCACAGAGCTTCGTATGGTTTTTTGTTTGTTGGTTGGTTTGGTTTTTGGGTGTTTTGAGATAGGGTCTCACTGTGTAGCATTGAGTGGCCTAGAACTTGCTATGTAGACCAAGCTGTCCTGGATCCCAAGAGGTCACCTGTCTCAGCATCCACAGCGCTGTGATTAAAGGCAAGTGGCACCATGCGTAAGGAACCTTTTATGTGGTTCTGTAGAACATACTACTTGCCAGGCTGTGGTGGTGCACACCTTCTATCTTAGCACTCAGGCGACAGAGGCAGGTGGAACTCTGAGTTTGAGGCCAGCCTGGTCTATAGAGTGAGTTCCAGGACAGCCAGGGCTACATAGAGGAACACTGTCTTGAAAAACCAAACCAAAAGAAAACAAAACAAATTCCACTGAAACAGCCACCCACCCTAACTGAGCTATTTCCCCTTGGCCTCCGGTCTCACTGCTCCCAGACTGGGTTTGTTTACAGCAAGTAGCACCCAACATTTCATTCCCAAATGCCTAGATATCTACCTGTGAAAGATAACCTATCAGAAGGAAACCTTGCCTCCGGGTGTTCCTGGTTCCTCATTGTCTGCTGCACTGTGCTCTGGGAAGGCGTAGTTCTCCAGGTCAGCAGGGTCTAGATAGGGCCCTACCTGGATTGATTTGGTTCCTGGGCCTCAGGTTCTTTCTGCATTCTGATAATCACCTTCCTCAGGGATGAAATGGAGGTGAAGGGGGGGTTCCCCGAATCCATTGTTGGAAGGATGAGCTGGTGATAAATAGCTCAGCAGCAGAGCACCTGTCTGGAGTGCACAAGGCCCTGGTTTCAGTCTCCTGCACCAGTGGAAACAAAACAGAATAGGTGGAGAGAGAATAGCTGTGAGCGGCAGCTGCCTTTCCGGGTTCTCACCTATGTGGACTTGTGCAGGACCTGCTTAAGCAGCTGCTCTTAGTCCCTTGCAAGCTGCCTGGTCCTTAGGGGTGAGTCACTACTGACCTTCATTATCTATTAAAGGTAGTTTTCCATCCTGGCTCCCCAGGTGTTTTGTCTGTAATCAGATAAAATGAAAGAATGATCCGAATCAAACCATGGTCACAAATTGTGTGTATGGGTCTCTGTCTGTCTCTGTCTCTCTCTGTCTCTGTCTCTCTCTCTGTGTCTCTGTCTCTGTCTCTCTGTGTGAGAGTTACAAGAGAGTGTGTGTGAGAGAGAAAGTGTACATGAGTGTGTGTGTGAGTGTATGAGAGTGTATGTGTGTATGCACACGTGCACGTGCATGTGAGACAAAGAAAAATAAATTTCTTTTTCTTTTTTTTTTTTTGGTTTTTTGAGACAGGGTTTCTCTGTATAGTCCTGGCTGTTCTGAACTCACTCTGTAGACCAGGCTGGCCTCGAGAAAAAGAAATTTCTATTATTTTTGCTAAGAGGCAGAAGAACCCACAGAATTTCCACGTCCTAGGGCATGGAAGTGCTGTTTTCCTATAGTTGGTATTCAGCTGATGTTGGTGTGGCCTCAGGACTGCCAGCTTCCCCTGCTTTTCTCTGGCTGTTGACCTCTCAATACTCTGTGTGGTTGCTATGCTTCTTATATTACTAATATGCTCTGTCTCTTCTCAGTGGAACACTAGGGTCGACATTATTGTCTGTGTGGCTTATTAATGTCTGCCCGTGTCTAGCGTGCTGCTTACACACAGCAGGAATTCTGTCGGTATATACTGACTGCCACCTTGCTCTCCTCTGAGTCTCACAGGGTGGATTCAGCTGGCCAGCCTCCAGGGTGAGTGGTTCAGTGATTACTTCACACCCTCTCCCACCTACTCTTCCTACCCCACCAAACCTTCCATACCCAGGTAGAGACTACAGGCCTGTCCCCTGGCTACCAGGCTGACATTGATTTAGGTGCCACCAAAGGATACAGCTGGAAAAGCAGCCCCAGAGGCCTCAGGGAGCCTCATCTTTGTAAGGCTCGGCTTCTTCCTGCAGAACTACAGAGTGGAGAACCTGTGCCTGGTGTCTAGAGCTTAGCCTGCTGTGTCCATTCCTGCTGAGAAATTGCCCAGTACCGGTCACCAGGACAACCCATCAAGATATTATGAGTTAAAGGAACTGTTCCTGGGGCACCCTCTAGCCTGCAAGCCACTTAGACATCATACTTGCTGGCTCTAAGCAAAACAAAGTAACATTTGTATTTATAATACAGAAAAGTACAAGTGGTGCTGACGCCTTTAATGCCAGCCTAAGAGAGGAGGATGCAGATGGATCAGGAGCTTAAGGACATTCTAATCTACATAGTAGGTTTGAGCTAGCATAGGCTACATGAGACTCTCAAAAAGCACAACATATGTGTGCATGTATAAGATAGAAAGAAAAAAAGGGAAGGGAGGAAACTGGATGTGGTGGTACACTCCTTTCAACCCAGTGCACAGGAGTCAGAAGCAAGTGGGATCTGTGGGAGTTTCAGGGCAGTCTGGTCTAGGTTAGCTAGGGCTACATAGTGAGACCCTGTTTATAATAAGTAATAATGATAATAATGGAAATATGGCCTATAATTCTACCATCTTCACATTAGGAAGGAAGGAAGGAAAGAAAGAAAAGAAAGAGAAAAGTTGGCACATGCTTGTCATCTCAGCACTCAGGAGGTAGGAACAAGAGGATCAAAAGATCAAGGACAGGGCCAGCACTCTAGAGGCAGAGGCACATAGATCTCTGAGTTGAGACCAGCCTGGTCTACACAAAGAAACCTTGTCTACAAAAAAAAAAAAAAAAAAAAAAAAAGGAGGAGGAAGAAAGGGAAGGGGAGGGGAGAAAATGAAAAGAAAAGTGGGAGCCGGGCAGTGGTGGCGCACACCTTTAATCCCAGCACTTGGGAGGCACAGGCAGGTGGATTTCTGAGTTTGAGGCTAGCCTGGTCTACAGAGTGAGTTCCAGGACAGCCAGGGCTACACAGAGAAACCCTGTCTCGAAAAACAAAAACAAAAAAAAAAAGAGAAGAAAAGAAAAGTGGGGCTGGAGAGATGGCTCAGCAGTTAAGAGCACTGACTACTTCCAGAAGTTCTGAGTTCAATTCCCAGCAACCACATGGTGGCTCACAACCATCTGTAATGGGATCTGATGCCCTCTGCTGGTGTGTCTGAAGACCGTGACAGTATATTCACATATATAAAATAAATCTTAAAAGAAAGGAGAAAGAAAGACAGACAGACAGAAAGACAGACAAAAAGATCAGAATAGCCTCAGCTATACAGCAAGTTTTCAGCTAGCCTGGGCTACATAATACTGTCACAAAACAACTACAAAAGCCTTAATTTTTTGTTATTGTTTAGCTTACTTGTTTTATGTGCTGTGTACATGAGTCTATCTTTCTTTCAACTTTCTTTTCTTTCTTTCTTTCTCTCTTCCTTTCCTTCTTTCTTTTTGAGGACGTTGCTAGGCAAGCCCTTTACCACTGGACTACACTGTCACATTCACAGTGCCTTTTGTTTTCTACTATTCATGTGTGTCTGGGGTGGCAGGTATATGTACATGAGTGCAGGTACCCTCACAGGCCAAAGACATTAGATCCAACTGAATCCAGAGTTACAGGGGTTTGTGGGTCATCCCAGATGGGTTCTGGGAACTGAACTCAAGTCCTCTGCAAGTCAAGACATCTCTCAAGGGGGGAGTGGGGGTTGCTTGGGTTTTGTTTTTTGTTTTTTTTTAACCTTGAATTCACAGAGATCTGCCTGCTTCTGCCTTCCTGGGCTGGGATTAAGGGCGGGTGTCACCACTATCTGCTCTCACAAAGCTATTTTTAAGTGGCACTCTCACTCTCGGGTCCTTTCTGAAGGCATGAGATTCATAGATGTTTGAATACAGTAGAGGATGAACCCTGTACAGATGAGGGAAGACTGTTTCCAGCAGTGGGACCAGTGAATGCCAATACCCTTGGATCAATGCGGACACAGGAATAGTGCAGCATGATGGCTACCACTTATAATCCCAACATTGGGGAAGCTGAGGCAGGAGGATTGTCAGGAGTTAAGAGTTTTTCTTAGTTCCAGCACCCACAGCTCCAAGGAAACTAACTGAGCTATATCTCCAAACTCCACTCTTTCTTTTTTTTTTTTTTGTGGGAGGAGGGCTCTTTTTATGACAGGGTTTCTCTCTGTAGATCAAGCTGGCCTCTGCCTCCCAAGTGCTGGGATTAAAGGCGTGACCACCTCGCACAACTGCACTCAGCCTTTTCCTAGACTTCCTCCGTGCCAGGCTGCCGTGGATCTCCAGGACTGTAGCCAGTCCACCACCCCAGGAGGGCACTGAACCCCACTGCCCCGTGGTGGCTTCCAGGCTGCATTTTTTCCCCAGCCACTGGAGAGAGACCACTGCTTTTGTCTTCTGTGTCCAGGTCCAACAAATACTTACTGAACAACCGCTGCTTTCATTTACACTTTGATTTCTCCCCTGCCTCCAAGGTGCAGTGAAGAGGGGCCTTACTGCAGAGCAGGTGCGGACTGATCTCCTGACTCTAGGTAGGCCTGTAGGGTTGCCTGGGGAGGAGGAGGGCCTGTGAGCTTTTTGTCATGTTAATATCCTCTGTTCTCTTACAGGTCTTAGTGAGGAGAAAGCCACTTCCTTTTCTGAAAAGGTATAATTCTAGTAATCAAGGTTAAGAGCCTGGCTTTTATTTCCTGAAGAGAAAAGAGAAGGGGGGAAAATGCTGAGCAAGACAAAACCATCTCATTCTTCCCCACTTCAGAATCTCGGGGAACGACACACCTGCAGCTGCCAACCAGCTCTGCTTGGGGCAGCAAGCAGATTTTTCTCCTTTGGCTTGACAAATATTAATGCCATTGTTCCAATAGGATTAGATCTTGGGATGAAGAAAGACTATTTAAATTGGCTATAGTGGAGCCTGCCTGTAACCCCAGCACAGGGAGTTGGGCTCAAGGGCAACCTCAGAGACAGAAACAAGGTCAGCTGGGCTTCCTGATGCCCTGCTGAAAGATTGTGTTCCTGACAACTGCTGTGTTTGGAGCATAATGGATAGGGACGATGGTCTCCACTCTGATGATGCTGCCTTTGCTTTTCTTCTAGTGGAAGCAGAACGCCCCGACCCTTGCACAGTGGGCCATAGGTCAGACCCTGATGGTTAACCAGCTGATTGATATGGAGTGGAGGTTTGGAGGTAATTAGATAGATCCATTCCTGGTTACCTGTGTGGCTGTCCTAGGGCTGGATTGCAGAGGCTTTTGGAAAGCCTGAGTAGGGAAGACTTGTCCTTGATCTCAAACACCACTGGGGGCCAGCCGTCTCCACCCCTGGTACCATCTTTCTGGTTCATGTTCACCCCAACATGGCTGCTCAGGACAGCCTGCTAAATTGAGATTTTCAGAAGAAGTCCTCAGTCAGTCACTTAGTATTCTCTTCTGTGTGTGTCACAGTGACGTCTGGAAGCAGTGAATTAGAGAAAGTGGGAAGCATATTTTTACAGGTACGTCAGTAGTCAGTGGCGATGGGGAGGGTTTCAACCTGGTTAAAGGTTACCTAAAGCTGGGCATGGTGGCACAGGCTTGTAACCCCCCACATCAGAAGTTCAAGGCCAGTTTGGGCTTCATGAGGTGCTTTCTCAAATGTTTATTAAAGCCGAATTGGTGTTTGTTCTAGTCAGTGTTCTAGCTATGAAGAGACACTATGACCAAGGCAACTCATATAAGAAAGCATTTAACTGGGCCCTTGCTTACAGGTTTATTGGTAATAGTCATCATCATGGCAGTGCAGAGGCAGATGTAGCGCTGGAGAGGTAGCTGAGAATTCTACATCCTCATCTATAGGCAACAGAGAGAGAGGAAGGAGGAAGATGGAGGGAGAGAGAGCAGGCCCACTCCCAGTGACACACTTCCTCCAACAAGGCCGTACTTCCTAGTCCTTCTAATACTATAAAGAGTTGCACCTGTGTGACAGAGCATTCAAGTATATGAGTCTGTGGCAGCCATTTTCATTCAAACCACTACAGGTTTGAAATCTTAAGTGACATTCCCTCTAAAGTGCCCTGTGCATCTCAGAGTAGTGTGGTCAGCCAAATGGTCCCCAACGTGCCTGCCTTCAGATGAACTCATCTTAGTGTTGGTCATACAAGTTCAGTTGCTTCACTGGCCTGGGGACTGTCAGGATTCTTTACATGGACAATTCAGTCCACTTCATGTAAGTCCTAAGATGGAGCCTGTGATGGGACCGGGACATGGCTCAGGGCTGGAGGCTTAGTTTCCTGTAGCTCCTGGGAAACTTTGGGATTTAACTAGGTGAAAAGGCTTGGAGGAATTTCTTTTCTCAGCTGTCATTTAAATGTTTATTATTATTATTACTATCTATTATTATTTATTGTGTGTGAGAGAAATGATGCATCATGGATGTGGAGGTCAGAGGTCAGCTTCATGTAGTTGGTTCTCTTCTCCCACCTTTATGTGGGTTTCAGGGGCAAAGCCGGGTCACCAGGCTCCTGTAGTAAGCACTAGCCACTGAAGCCATCTTGCTGGCCCATCATTTTAATTTTAAAGTTATTTATTTATTTATCTATTTATTTATTTATTTTCTCTACCTTCTCCTTTTCCGCCTTTCCTTTTAGTTAAAGTTGGTGGTTAAGAAAGGAAAACAAACTGAAAATTTGTATATAGGTGAGTCTGCAGTGGTACTTTGTAGCTTTCTACCTCCTTCCTTCAGTCTCCTGGGCTGGTAAAGTCTCCCTGACAGAGCCCATCTCTCTAAGACAAGGTTATCACCAAGCTCTAGAGCGGCCTCCACTTCCTTCCTTCTCAGAGCAGGGCTGTTGCTAGGCTACTGGGAGGTTAGAAAGTCTGAGTAGAAGGGGGTGAGGGGCTGTATAATGGAAGCAGGTTGGAGGCAAGAAACTGTTTTTAAAGATTTATTTATGTATGTGAGTGCACTGTGGCTGTCTTCAGACACACCAGAAGAGGGCATCAGATGCCATTACAGATGGTTGTGAGCCACCATGTGGTTGCTGGGAATTGAACTCAGGACCTCTGGAAGAACAGTCAGTCAGTGCTCTTAACTGCTGAGCCATCTCTCTAGCCCCTGGAGGCAAGAAACTCTTGTTGTGGACATCCCTGAATGCCCTGTGAAACCCTCTGTGCTTCTGTGTGACACCATTATATACACACTTTTGTGTTTTATGGAGCTGAGATCCTTGAAGTCAAGACTGTAGGTTCCTTATTCTGAGCCACTTAACTGAATGTAGCTCAGTGGACCCCTTGCCTTAGAATGCTATAGGGCGGGTTTGATTCCCAGCACCACAAAAAGAAAGAAACGGCTGCTGAGATTACCAAAGAAAATAGATGTCAGCCTGGAGATGGAGCACTGGCTACACAAGGTGCTGGGTCTGCTCCCCATCGAATGAAAGAATAAACACTAGCTGGGGGTAGCAGTGGATTTCCCTGGTACTTCTGTGGCGTTGAAAACACTCATCTCACACTGAGTTTTCTCTCCCCAGAATTAACCTTGCCTCAGTTCTACAGCTTCCTGCATGAGATGGAGAGAGTCAGAGCGAGCATGGAGTGTCTCAGCTGATCCTGGCTCTTGTTCCCTTGCTCCTGCCTCTTCTCTGACGGCTTCTCCAGGGTCCAACTGCCTCCGGAGGCCAGGTGCAAGAGTTTCTAAAAACAACAGTCTCAGTACTTGAGGAGTCCTGCCTGATACTTCTGTAAGCCCCATCGGAAGCCACCACCTCCGACTTCTGGATGACTTTACACCTAGATGCTCTGACAGCTGCCGCATCGCATCTGGGATTGGTTTCTTTCTTTTGGAAGGCTGGTATTGTCACCTCCCATTCAACAGTAAACAAACGGTTCCTTCATTCAGGTGGTTGAGTTCGTGTTTGTGGCTGAGGAATAGACAGGCAGTGTGGACATTATGTCAGGAGAGGTGCCATCTGTGTCACACTGTTTGGAGGGGGAAGGGCTCTGCCAGCCAGTGTTTGCTGTCATCTGCATAAAAGCCTGTGCTTAGTCTTCTCTGGAAAGAACCGAGGCCAGACTGTTTCTGGTTTTGTCTCTGTCTTTTGTGTTACAAGGAGGTAGGCCTTCTGAGGCCATCTTAGATTGTTTTGTTTGGTTCCAGAAGACAAACCACCTTTTGGTTAAGTGGTAAATTAAAAGAGAAACAGTTTCTAAAGAAAAGCTCTGAATCTACTAAATGTCTTTCTCCACGGTTTAAGAGTCATCCAAGTCTAGAGAGATGGCTCAGCGGTTAAGAGCACTGACTACTCTTCCAGAGGTCCTGAGTTCAATTCCCAGCAACCACATGGTGGCTCACAACCATCTGTAATGGGGTCTGATGCCCTCTGCTGGTGTGTCTGAAGAAAGCGACAGTGTACCCACATACCTGAAATAAATAAATCTTTAAAGAAAAAAAAAAAGTCATCCGAGCTGAGTGTAGCTGCATATTCCTGTAGCCTTGGCCCTAAGGAGGCAGAGACAGGAGGATCACCAGAAATTAGAGGTCAGTCAGGGCAGCAAAGGGAGAGCCTGTCTCAAACCAAGCCAGCCATGAGGGCGAGATTGATGGCTCTGTGGTTAAGAGTGCTTCCTAGTCTTTGAGAAGACCCTGGTTAACTCTCTTCTCAGCACCCACTTCTGGAAGCTCACAACAGCCTGTAACTCCAACTTCACACCTTCTTCTGACCTCAAGGGCAGACACACACACACACACATACTCTCTCACACACACATATACATACACACTCAACAATACAAGTGAAATAAATATTTTTTAGAAAGGCCACAGGGTTGCGGCATAGCTCAGTTGGGAAAGCGTTTGCTTAACATGCATCAAGTCTGGCTTTATTCTGCAATACTTCATAAAACCTGGCCTGGGCTACGTGACCCCTTGTCTCAAAAAAATAAAACCAGGGCCAGTGAGTTGGCTTATCTGGTAAATATAGCTACCCTGATGCCTGACAACCTGAGTTCCATCCCCAGGACCCACATGGTGGAAGGAGAGAACTGACTCCTACAGATGTAGTCTGACCCATACACACCTGTGCACACCCACGCATGCCTAGTAAGTAAAGAAATAAAATTAATACTTTTCCTCAAGACAAGGTTTCTGTACATAGCCTTGGGTATCCTTGAACTCCCTATGTAGACCAGGCTGGCTTCCTATTAAATTTTTTTTTTAAATTAAAGACAAAAAAGGGCACTGGCTGCTTAAGCGAAGAACCTAGATTTGGTTTTCGTGATGTTCCTACATAGTAGCTCACAACCCTCTGCAACTCCAGCTCCAGGGAATTCAATGCCTCTGGCCTCCATGGGTACCTGCACTAATATGCACATAATTAAAGATAAATAAATTATTTAGCCCTATTTCTTAAATATCCCTTTGAAATCCAACTTTGGACCATAGCTAATCTCATGAGAAAACTAGGCGCCTTCGACAAAAAGAGAATGGTAACTTGTTTTAAATAGGATGTAATCAATGCATTTTTGGATGGCTCACTATATAGCTCGGGCTGGCCTCAAACTCATGACAGGCCTTCTACCTTACCTTCAAAATGAGTTCTGGGATTACAGGCATGTACCCCACACCAAATCTTTACAATGGACCAAATACATGGCTATATCCTCAGCCCATAAAGGTTTTGTTGTTGTTTTTACATTTATTTTATGGAGTAGGCAGAGTCATGTGTGGGGGCTGCAGACTCAGAAGACAACCTTCAGGAGTGGGCACTCTCTTCCACCTAGTGGGTCCTAGGGATAGAACTCAGGACAGCAGGCTGAGTCACCAGGCCCTTTACCTGCTGTCCGCAGCAGAACAGTTCTGAGTAGACATGAGGACCCATTCCCACCTCTCTTTCCAGCTACTCACCAGAGGGGATCTGCTAGTTTGTTCTGTCTTCTGGAGCTATTTCTTGAATCTGTGTGCATATCTTCTGTGAGTATTATCTCACACAGAACGCAGCGTGCATACACACCAACCTATACCTTGTTTCTTTTCTTTTTTTTTTTTTTTTTTTGGTTTTTCAAGACAGGGTTTCTCTGTGTAGTCCTGGCTGTCCTGGAACTCACTCTGTAGACCAGGCTGGCCTCGAACTCAGAAATCCACCTGCCTCTGCCTCCCGAGTGCTGGGATTAAAGGTGTGCGCCACCACCGCCCTGCACCTTGTTTCTTCCAGTTAACATGGAGATCTCTCCTTATCAAAAGCAAGAGCTGCCTCAGCCTCTGCTTCTCCCAGTGATTCATCTGACCAGTTTCCTACTGGTAGATGCCCAGTGCTACAACTTGTCTATCTCCTCTTTATTTGATACAAGGTCTTTCTGTGACGCCCTCTATGCTCTGAAGCTTGAAATTCTCTGACCTAAGCATAGTGTGTGCTAGAATTATAGATTCAGATTAAATATGTTCACCATCATTTTTTCATTGTAATTGCACATTACAAGTACATTACTAAGCCCACCATGGTGGTGTATGCCTTTAATCTCAGCACTTGCAAGGCAGAGGCAGGCAGATCTCTGTGAGTTTGAGGCCAGCCTGGTCTACATAGTGAGTCTCAAGACAGCCAGGGCTGTATAGAGACACTTTTTTTCAAAATGCAAACAAACACAGTTTTTATTTACATTGAAGGGTTTTGTTTTGGTTTGTTTTTTTTTTTTTTTCCATGTCAGTGCTTAAAGATTCTCCATCCCTTTCTGGCTGTAAAGCAATTTAATGTGTTCATGAGTTATAATGGTATCTGTTACTTTGGTTAATGCCAGTATTCATCAGAGTTCTACAGAGAACAGAAACAGCAGAATGTCCTCCATGTCTATCAGGATGTGTGTGTGTTTGGGTTGTTTTCTTTCATTTTGAGAAAATCTTGTATCAGTAACATAGGCTGGCCCAGAACTCACTGTGTATCTGAGGATGGCCTTGAACTCTTATCCTCCTGCCTCCGCCTCACAAAGGCTGAGATTTCAGATGTTTGCTCTTTTGCCAAGCAGAGCTGTTTTATCTTTAAGGATTTGCTGTCAGGATTACTGAGGTTTGAGAAGTCTTAGGGTAGATGACAGTAACACCCAAAGAAGAGCTACAGTCCCATTCCTGAGGTTGACTACTGGCAAATTCCGTCTTGCTCCAGAGGAGGTCAGGCTTTTTATATTAATACCGTAAGCTGGTTAGATGAAGCTACTCACAGCACAGAGTGAGTCTGCTGTACTCCGATTCACCTAATTTAAATTTAATTCCATCTCAAAAACACCCTCACCAAAAACATCCAGTATGGTATTTAACCAACTGAGGGACATGGTCCAGCCATCCTTGTGCCAGACTGCCTGATGGGTGGATGTTCGTTCAGTGCTACACTTGACTATCTCCTCTTTGTTCTTTGACATAAAGTCTTTCTGTGAAGCCCTGGATGCTCTGAAACTTGATATTTGAATCTTTGTTCCCACCACCACCAAGGTCACCATTAGAAGTTCCAAGGACAACAAGTCGGTGCCCTTGGGCAGGGTCCAGGTGTGCTGATGCGACCCCGAGAACCCTGAGAATCTAATGTGAAAATTCACAAAGGGCATGGTGGTACCTTTAATCTCAGCACTCAGGAGGCAGAGGCAGCAGAGCAGCCTGGTCTACATGCACAGTGAGCTCCAGGCCACTTCATAGAATGTTAAAGCCAGAGCCACTCTATTAAGGCGAGTGTAGTGGCACACCCCTGCAATCCTACAGATGGGACACTAGGACAGGAAGATTGGTGCAAGTTCAAAGCCATCGTGGATTACATTGTGCACTTGCACGTACATATAAAATCAAACCCCACTCATCTCACAGAAAGAGAATCTCAGGCTTGGAGAGTGGTCACTGACCAGTTGTCATGGAATGCTGTCCTGCAGTCGGTGATAATCTTATTCAGGAATGGGAGCTAGAAGCAGGAGTGTCCTCAAACCAAGCCATCCAGAGCTGGCCTTATTCAGGATGTTCTATAAAAGTCACATTCTTGGTGCCCCCAGAGCAGGGTGAATTGAAGAGTCACGTTCCTGGTGGCCTGATGAAGTCTTGACCCTTCCACAGTCTTACCTGTTTTCTGGGAGCATTCTGCTGGACAGGTCTGACAGATAGATCCAAATGCTCATGGCTTTGCATGGTATCCAGGGTAAAAGCCGACCGACCCCTGGCAGCATCCCCTGCCCACCTCTCTGAACACAGTATCCCCATCCCCTCCTAGCATGTGTCCATGTTAGAGAAGCCACATCATAGGCCATCTGTACTCAGTGTGTCCCTGTGCTTTCGTTGTGTCTTTTTCTATGTTTATGTAGTCATGGCTGGCCTGGAAGTCACACAGAACAAGCTGTTCTCAAGCTTGTGGTGATCCTTCTGCCTCTGCCTCCCAAGTGCTTGAGTCACCTGGTACTTCCAACAGTTGGCACCCACATGGGCCTTCAGCACTGCCATGGGCATCAGGAGGGCATGGCCTTAAGTCAAGCAGCTTGGATTCCAGTTCTAGCCCATCCCCCACACACACACACACACTGTGACCTGACGTCCCCCCCCCCCACACACACACTGTGACCTCACATCCCCCCCACACACACACACTGTGACCTCACATCCCCCCCCCCACACACACACACACTGTGACCTCAGGCAACTGCCACAGCCTACTAGAATCTCAGTCTCCCTATTTGTGAATTGGCTCAGAGTTACTGCAGAGAACACTGGGCCCAAAGCCTGCTCAGCAGCCCGGGAGCTACTTGTGTGTCTGCAGGGTACTGGAGGCTTGTTGCCTTTGGGCTTGTTGGCAGTGGTTTGTTTTCAGCCCTGCCTGCTCTCTGCATGTCTCAGCTCTCCTCTTCTCCACATCCACACTGTCCTAGGTCTTACCCTTAAGGAACTGATACAATGTTGTGTCTATATGAGTATTTAGAGAGCATCAGATCCCCTGACACTGGAGTTACAGGGAGCTGGGAGCCAGTATGTAGGTGCTGGAAACCAAACCTACGTCCTCTCTAAGAACAGTAAGTACTCTTTACCAGCTGAGCCATCTGGCCAACTTCTGTTTCCTCTGACACTTATTGTGTGTTTGTGTGTGGACTTGGGTGGAGGTCAGAAGACAGCTTATAGAATTTGCTTTTCTCCTTCTACCAGGTAGGTTCCAGAAGCTGATCTCAGGTTGTTAGGATTTGTGGTACATTACCCTGTGAGCCAT